ACCATGGCCAGGCTGAGCATGTGCATCCACCATGGAGCTGAAACAGCACAGGCTGATGAACTATGGAGAAACATTGCCAGTGAGAGCCAGTTCATCTCAGGGGCAGCTGTCAACACCCATATTCCCTAAAAGGAGGAAAAGAGGTCACAGGAGACTGAGCCACCAAAAGCCTTCCTCCCTCACAGCCCTTCCCACTCCAGTCTCCTCTCCCTCTGTCCTTTCTAGAAAGGAACTCTGGAGGCAAGGGAGTCCATAAGAGAGGACACCTGCTGCTAGGGACATGGAGGAGGGAGTGGTGACAAGCTGTGGGAAATGAGAAAGAGGCAGGAATCCCAGAGAATTATCCATGTTCTCTGGATAACATGGATAATTCCAACATTGTGATTGACTGGGAGGATGGAGATTCCTCACAGGTAGTCCACAGGCCAGACATGCAGGGGCACAGTGATGTGATGCAAGACCCCTCTGATACAAAGCCCTTCTCAGAAGATCAGTGACAAAGGGGAAGAGGCAGAGATGGAACGAGAATGGTCTTGTGCTGTGGGGACTCTGGACAAGCCTGTGCGCAGTGACCTTGGACCTGCTTTGGTGAAGATCTTCTTCTTGGGGTACTCCAGAATTACCTGAAGCACCTTTGGGAGGACTGCAATGGCTTCACAGCCTTCAGACCTCCAAGGGAGTCCTGTGTCAGACTCAGAATTTTGAATAAGAAGCAAGAAGGACACAGGCCTGGGAATCACACATATTTGCCATGAAGCCGTGGGCTAACTTCTCAGCCTCACCAGTGCCTGTCTTTGCTGCTGTAAATTGGAGATGTAACTACCCCATGGGGATATTTGATGAGAGAACAAGTAAAACTCAGAGTCTTGTGGCTGACACCAGGAAAGAATTCATACCTTAGCCTCTTTCCCTTCGAGGCAATACACAGATGAATGCACACACCCTCACAGGCACTCCACACACAGCACAAAAATATCTAGGTGGCATCTCACCGTCCCCTAAGGGGTGTGCACATAAGCCAATGTCTTCTTGCTCTTTTGCCACTTACATATACTCTCAGCTCCCAAACTCAGTCTCTTCTAGTATCAAAATCTGAATTTCTGCCTTTGAGCCTGTCTACCTGGCTTTAAGAAATTGAAGCTGACCAGGTGGTGGTGGTGTATGCCTTTAATCCCAGGACTTCAGAAGCAGAGACAGGGGGATCTCAGCGAGTTCAAGGCTAGCCTGATCTACAAAGAGAGTTCCAAGACAGCCAAAGCTGTTACACACAGAAACCCTGTCTCTAAAAAAACCAAGAAGAAATTGAAGCTGAGACAAATCCCCTCACTCACATATCCCAGAGTCTCCTAAGTCAATCCCAGAATGTGACATGAACAATGGACCCAATAGCTAGCCAGGCAAGGACGCACATGTAGTTGCTGCATGCTGGATTTGTAGGGGCACTGCCAGGACCCCAGGACATGGGAGTGTCTTCTGGAGGCCAAAGGAGGTCAAACAGCTGGAAGTTGCACTGAGCTGTCTTAGACTCCTGCTGTGGCTTCCTGAAGCTTGGCTCCTTGGGGTCCTCAAGGCACTGCCGGGGCTCAAGATGCTACTGTTGCTGTCAATCAAACTGCTTCTCTACACCAGGTGGTTTATCCAGACTTCCACAAGTGCTCTGGAGTCCATAATTACTAATCTGCCTTGGTAAACAGGATCCCTCAATGCCAGCTACAAGAGGTTTCACTCAACGTCCTGGCTGGAGACAGGCTCGGTATGGTTTCCTGGAAGGGGCAGGTAATATGTGAGGCTAGGACCCCAGGAGCTCCTGCCTCTACTTTTATGGGCTGTAAAATGTCCATGCTCACTTCAATTCTGGAAAGTAAGAAAGAGTTGATTACACTGGGTAGTTTATCTCAGGTCTTGTGCCTATAAATTTTCATCTTGGCAGCTGAAGCATTGAAAAAACATGAGTTCTGCAATGAATCAGGCCTTAGTTCTAGTCTCAGTTCTGACACATAGGCACACAGTCTTTCCAGACCCATGTTCTCATTGGTAGAACAAATAAAGATTTTTTTGGGGGGGGGAAGGGGCTCAACACAGTGTTTCTCTGTGTAGCTTTGGAGCCTGTCCTGGAACTAGCTCTTGTAGATAAGGCTGGTCTTGAACTCACAGAGATCTGCCTGCCTCTGCCTCCCGAGTGCTGGGACTAAAGGCGTGTGCCACTACCAGGCCTAGAGATTTAATAATAGCATTTAATGAGCACTTATTATGCACCAGGCTGTGCTTTCTACCATTTTTGATATTCTATAAATAAACCAGGAAAAAACATATCATTAGCGCCTCCCTTCTTGGTGATGAGTATGGGTAAATTTTAGTCAATCTCAGTCCACTCTGGGGATTTCACTCTCCTTATCAGTGATAAGTTGAAGAATAGGAATGTAACTTCATTCTAGCCAATTAAAATACAAGGGATGACCTAGGGTTTTCCAAGAGAGTTTTTCTTTCTCTATTTACACTTAGATAATATATACAAATATGCCACCTATGTGCAGCTATTTTGCAACTCTGAAGATAGTAGGCAGTACACTGAAAGCTAAAAGAATGTTGGTCTTTGATCTTTTCATTAAGCAGCTCAATTAACCAACATGGAAACCAAATCATCTCTGGACCCCTTTGAGAGAGGGCTGGAGGGAGAAAATATGAGAATGTGTATACCACACAGCAGACAATCTTCCAAAGTTGGGTCTCTCATTCAACTATTTAGGTCCTGAGTGAAACTCAGGTCATCGGGCTTGGTGGCAATCACCCTTATCCAGTGCCATCTCATCAGCCCCTTCTTAATGTCATGATACTGTCACATAATTTATGAACTATCTATCCACTGATCTATTTCTTTACCCTTGCTGTAGGTGGAGTGTATCACTGTACTTTCAGACACAAAAAAAGATCTCAATGAAGAATATGAACTCGCCTGGGATTCATGCAAGTGTGTACACAGCAAGAACTGAGTTCAGCACTGAGCATGAAATGGACTAATACAACTTACACCTCTGTGTGCTCCCAAAAGCTAATCTTCCTATAACCAAAGCAACTTACCGGCGAGTAGCTAAAACATGTGCACAGATAAACTCTAGCTGGCCCTACTACAGGCCTGTAACCCCAGCTACTAGAGAGGCTGAGGCAGAGAATTTCAGTGCAAGTCTTATTTAAGCTACAAAGTGTGGTGATATATTGCTTGTACAAATAAAGCCTGTCTGAAGACCAGAGGATGGAGCTTGCCACTAGCTAACCATAGAGGTCAGGAGGTCTGCACAGACAGACAGGAAGTAAGATGGCTGGGCAGAAACAGGAAGTGAGTGGCTGGGCGGAGAGGATGCAAGGAGGAAGAAACAGTAACTTGCTCTCTTTTCTGCAGGGAAGCTAGTGGAATAAAGGTGGCAGTGGCTTGCTCCTTCTCTCTGATCTCTCAGCATTTCCCTCTGTATCTGATTCTGTTTAAACCTAATAACAACTTCATTTACAATGAAGTTCAAGGCCAGCCTAGGCTACTCAGCGAGACCTTGTCTCAGAACAGAGACAACTAGGGTTCAGGCTCAGGAGTACTGTGTTTGCCTATCCTAAGAGATGCTGTGAGTTCACACCCCAGAACTACAAAATATAAATTGTTTTCCCTCACTCTCTTCCCTCATGGAAGAAGCATCACTTCCCAAAAGGACTCCAGCTGACTCACACAAAGATGGTCTGGGGAGATGACACTAGGTGCCCCAAT